TACATAACTATTTTCAATAATATGTTGACCGTTTGATATACCTGCACAACATGAACAATTTTTTAAATTTATTTTAAATTACGTGAGAGGTTCGAGAAATTATCAATTATAGAGAATTGACTCTAATTAAAGTGACAATTTCAAGAGAATTTTAGATGTAGTGGTGTTTATTAATACGTGCAGTAGCTAATAAAACTGATTTTTTATTGAAATAATAAAAATTGTTCACCATCAGATGCGCTTATAACAAAGGGTCAATCATTATTACAAAATTAATAATATCAGCCTTTTAATATTCCTAATATTGTCGCCAGTAAATAATATTGCAATTACATACCTCCATACAGTTGTGTATACACGACAATGATGGGATACAGATATGTATTTTAATTTTTTAACCATGGGGCACGAATCAGAAAAATTTGAAAAAAATTCTGAAAATAGCTTATTTTTTGGGGCAACATTTGGAAATGTTCTCGTGTACCCGTCGGAATAAAAACTTGCTTTTAAAAATATTCCAAAATTTTGAAATCCATTTAAATTTCGAATTTCGTGACAAATCGAATTTTCAAAATTATTTTTGAAAAATTTCGTAAATTTCATCTAAAGAATCATTATTTTCAATGGAAATTCGTTCGGCCTATTCAATGAACAAAATGGTTACAAAAAACAGTTTTTGTTATTACGAAGGACGTGCACGTGACGTGGTCACAATTCTTTTGAAAGATTTACTTTTCGATTTCAAGCGGGGGATCTTTTTATCAGCTGCATGTAGCTAGAGCCTTTAAATGATGTCATTATATTTTTTCAAAATATTCGTAGTTTTCGCGTGATTTTGAGTTAAATCGTGGCAATTTTTCAAAAATATCTAAGCAAGATTTTCTCAAAAACATTTTCAATTTTTTCTTTTAACATTTTGTAAGGATAGAACACAATGCACAAACTCATGACATAAGCGCCCTTTTGATTAAAACTTTTGAATTTTTTAAATATTATGTATATTTTTGTATTTTTTGATAGAATGGAACACTATACACAGAATTCGAAGGCAGTGCTGTTTACAATCCAAAAATACCAGGCAGGATGAGCATTTGTTATTTCAGATACTTTAGTAGCACTTGTTAATCTGATATTATAGCTGTGAATATCACAGCTGATCACATTTTTCGTTTGTGCCCATCTTTTGGAAATCTTGGACTACTTGTTTTGCACCGTACGCTTGTTACTTCTATTACCGCTAACCTCTTCGATCTTACTTGAAATACATCAGTGTTGTTTACTTGGAATGTATCGTTTTGAGTATGACTAGTATAATCTTATAAGTTTTGATTTCTTTTAGAGATCGTGACTTAATATTCAGCTAGGTTTATACTACACCTCAATGTCTGATTTATTGTCTGGAGGAAAAAGATGCGTTAGGCATTTATTTTCCGACGAGAAATACGCTCATGTGAAGAGGAATGAATAGTGAGAATATGAGAAGAGGTAATAAAAACGTTTTTATTTCAATACATTTTGATTATAATAACAGAACAAAACAAACAATATAATATAATATTCTTAGTATAAGACGTTACGTATGCAATAAAGAGACTCCTTATTTTGGAAAGAATTGTAGAAATTAGTCGCTTCTTTAAGTTTGTCTGCAAGTCAGTAAAATACAGCTCTCTCACATCCGGAAGACGATTATTTTTATTATAAGTTAATGTAGATCCTGTGTTGAAAAACATACGAATTTCATAAAATGAACATGTTCAAACGTTAGAAATATCGCAGCTGTATTTATGATAGAATTTATTTTTAATATTAATTTCAATTATATTCGGAAGCGCATGGATTTGTTACATATTTTTTCTCTGTATAAAAAGTTTTTGTTTATAAACTGTAGAATTCTAGTAATTATGATTTTTTGTGTCCCTTGATATGTAGAACGCATACGTATCGGCAAACATTATGTTAAATTTGTACGAATATATGTTTCATCCCTATAAAATTAGTCTCGTACGTCGAAATGTATAGTCCGTAGTGAGAATAAAACTGTGGAAGGAGTTAGTCTGTATGAATGTTTGCCCACCGTGTTCATCGTAAATTCACAACCACTTTATTTGCACTCCGATATTGATAGAGTTTACTACTATTGAAATAAAGATCATTGTAATGGCTAATATACCTGGAAAATTTGTAATGAAGCCTTTTATGAAATACATTTTAAGATAAGTAGTTCTATATCTATGGGCTGTTCCTACCATATTGCTGATAAACTGCTATTATTTTTTTTATTTAAGAAATGTATAATTTCTGAAAACTGAATCACTGCTGCCGTACCACATTTTTATTATGTTTCGTACTTCCGAGACTTCGTTATTCGATTTCCTATTTTTTTGAGTCCGCGCAAATTTATAACAGTATATTTGTATATTCCATTAGTAGGTACTTGTGCGTGTGTGCGCTGGCGCGTGTGTGGGTGCGTGTGTGATTGTGTGTGTGCTTGTGCGTGTGTGTGTGTGGGGGGGTTGTGTGTGTGTGTGTGTGTGTGTAATTAGTTGTTTTCAATTTTGAACAATACGCAGTCTGGCTTTATATATAAATACGAAATATGTTTACATTACCTACTACATTACACACCACATACATACTATATATAAATACATACATACAGTGTATAAATGCATATAATATACATTCATGTTTTCGTACTTTCATACAATACAATACAATACATACATTCATATTCAGACGCAGAAACATGAAAACATGTTAATATGTTAAAACCAAGTTTTCCAATGCGGTGTTAACGACAATAGGAGATTGCTAGTGTACGTTTGTTTTTTGTAGTTCTGAATATTTTGATTAGACATCTTTTTCACATTTCCGAAACATGCACGTAATTGAGAGTTGATTCTAATATGATTTCATCCGACTGCATCGTATTTGTGCATTCAGTAAGGAACAGCTTATATGAACAGGATTGAATTGTTTGCAAAAAATTGTTGTAAAATCATAAACTTAACTTTTACTTGACATATTGACAGTTTCATGCCTCCTTGATATACGGAACAGTATTTACCGCAAAACAAAAATGTGTTACGGTATTTCAATTACTCTAATCGCTCGTCATATCCGCTGAAGGCCGTGCCTTTTTACCAAAGCGAAACCACAGCTCAGTTTTTGACTAAGTCTTGAAGCTTTGGCATCTACGTATCATTTTTAACTATTGTACATTCTCCGCATGCTCTCTTTTTTAATACATCATAACGCATAAATCTCGCAAAAAGAAATGTGTACAAATACGGACGTAAACAGGATATTCATCGTGGAGGACAAAAGAGAAATAAAGGATATAATTCAAATTAAAGTAAAAGTGATATAAAATAATAATTCGCACAATAATTAAATCTAATATAAACATAAAATATCATAACTAATACAAATAGTAAATAATAAATTTGCATTTATGAAAATAACAAGTAAACTGATAGCTTTAAAATTAACCGATTCTAACAATAAAAGTCTTCATTAATAGGAAATATATAAGAAATATATTTTCTTAATATGAAATAATCATTAATATAATGATTAATCCATTCGGTTATGAAAATAACCTAATATGATTGATACTAATTCTGGCCTTAGAAGCAATATTCTTCAATGCATGACAGTCAAAACGTAGTTCTATAGAAACTATTTATTCACACAGTAATAATTGAACACAACGTTTCGCATGCTGATGCGCATACCTCATTAGATGTACTGTAAGAAATCGCATCAGCAAGCGAACCCTGTATGTTATTACGTGTACGTGAACGTGAACGTGTGTTATTACCGTACAAAAGATTAGTCTGTAAAACTGTGGTTTCACTGTCGTAAATAGGTCCTACAACCCAGCTCCTACAACGAGGAATCGTTAATAAAAATAATTAAAGCATAATATTTTATTTTTCTAATATTAAATTTTCACAATCAAAAGGTTTTTTTTTGAATACAATTCAAGAAAAAACTTTTCAAACTATCGCAATTTTCCACGGATTTTTTGAAATTGGTATCTTAATGATTTCATTCTTCCTTTTCTCAAATACATGTTCTTTATGCACTCAATAAGCATAATCCATTGAGTCGGTCTCCAGCCATTTTTATGGTAACCGGATTTTTATTCTTTGCAAGGTGGTGTATCACCGGTTTACACTAAAGAGGTGTCTCGTACAGCAACAGAAATGTTGCCTTGGAACTAGTATTTGAAGAGTTAAATTTAAAGAAATGTGTCAAGTATCCTTTATGAAAGATGATATATTTTCGATTGAGGGAGGGGGGGGGGCGTTGGTCCCCCGTCCTCCTTGGCTACGCCCATGTATACAAGCATTACAAATATTATCTTCAAATATTGGATGCAATATTGGATTCAGTTCCACTGCACATCTGAAATATAAATGTTTCGAGTAAATTAGGTGCAAATGCATTACATAAGGTACGAATGTAACGTGAAAACATATTCTCAGCCGTCTTGGTAAAATATGGTTGACTTAATATACCTAAAATATTTTGTCTTGCGCAATGAACTTTCTCATATCTTTCATACTCTTCCGCTGCAATACAGGTTTTTGATACACACAATGGTTTCTTAATACTAGAATTATCACCAACTCAACACATGATAAACAAATAAATTATCACTGTACCACTTGCTAGAAGTTACTGTTTTGCAATAGAGCGTTTTAACCTTAGGTTATACGTAGGAAGGTAGACGACACTGCTGCCCCGATATTCACTACGATGCGACGCAATGCGGGAAATTGTCTTCTTATTTTAATATAATCAATGGTAGTTAATAACAATTACGATTAATTTAATTCTGATTAACATAAAATATATTATGAATACCCTATCAGTACATTGTCCAAAACATTAGTCAAACCGCGGGATAATTGATTACGGTTCATGACGCACTATTAATATTGTACATTTTTGTGTTTCTTTCGCTTCGAAAGAAACGATAAAGTTATTTGCTGCTGCGATAGTTTATCAAAATGTATTTGAATGAGTCTATAATCAACTCAGATAAAACAGGGATGGTATAAAATTAATAATAAATGTAAGTTCGAAGTAAGAGCAACGATAAAATAATTTACTTTTTGAGGTTCAAGAAAATAAAATTGAAGAGAAATGCCACTTCAAAACTAGCGACATTTAGATATGAAACTCGTGGCATAAATTGCGAGTAAATGATCAGATGAGGCGTTTGGAAATAGAAAATTGAAATAAAGAGGAGTAAAAATGAAGGCGAACCCGACTTTGAATTCGAGAGTCAGAAGTTTGTTTTGGCATTTATAATTCCATTTCATTTTGATTTCATATTCGATAGCTGTCGTTAAGTTCCACGTTTTTGTTCTTTTCTAAAGTTATTAGAAAGTCGTCATGTATGAGGAGGAGTATGTCCTACTAATGGTTATAGGCTTTGAGAAAGGTTCCAAACATTAAAATATTCCTAAACATTGCACATTTTTGTTCACCAACGCTCTTCACCAGAAAGATCCAGGTATGAGCAGTGAGTTTCCGAAGACGTTGCAATGCGAATCTTTAGCTCTGCTGGAGTTGAGGCCCCAGTGGCAAACACTGGTCGTTCTTCTCCCGCACTCCAAGCGCCACCTGGGCTGGCGGGGCGAGGGCAGCGAGACGCGAGTCGCGCCGCCTACGACTGGATGAGCGAGTAGGGGATGTAGTCGCGCTGGGCCGCCACGGGGAAGATGGGCGAGGAGCCGCGCACGGGATCGGCGCCGCACGTCTTGCCGCCGCCGCTCAGCAGCTCGCTCATGAAGGAGATGTAGGTGATGGCGAGGCGCAGCGTCTCGATGCGCGACAGGCGCTTCTCGTAGGCGAACGTGGGCACCTTGCGGCGCAGCTTGTCGAACGCCTCGTTGAGGTTGAACATGCGGCGGCGCTCTCGGATGTTGGCTGCCCGCCGCTGCGCCATCGTGGCCACGCGCCGCCGCGGCTTCTTGTGACTGCCCGAGCCGCTCTGGCTGGAGCCGTTACTGTGCTGGCCGAACCTGTCGAATTCACAACGCTTCAGCATTTGCCTCCCAAAAGGCTGCCAATGCAGAATTGAACAAAAAGGACATTTCTTGCATAATGGGAAAAAGGAAATCTTCCTCTTTTTTCCAGACTTATATTAGGGAATAAAAACAACGAGAAACAAGTAACAACCGTACACGGCGTTAAATGGCTCTGAAGGGAAAACCGTTTTTGATACTGCCCGGAGTCTAGCTAATAAATAAAGGTTTGGAGTTGCGTTAACAAGTGTCACTATTGTCCACACGTTATGAGCGCTGATGTGTGTCTAGGACAATGTAAATTGGATTATTTGCAAGTTAGTGATTTTCCCCACAATTAATCTACTTTTTTATTCTACGCCAAGAAAAGCAAAAATCTATGAAACCTAGAGGGAAGAGTATAAAAAACTGTAAGTGGTGTTCAGAAGAATATTGAACAATGTCGACATTTGTCCAATGGGGAAGAGAATCAGGACGAGAAACATGATCGAGAGAACGGTTACAATGAAGGCAGCGACAAAATACGGCATCCAGTACAGAGATGTCTAAGCGCTTTTAAAAAAGTCTATAGTTATATGTTATACTTTAGGTGTTACTGCTTGGGGCTTATTTTAATGAAATGTCATTGTTTTTCTTTTTACTTTAGAACAATGCCGTTTAGTTCCAAAATTAATTATATGTTATGAAAAAAATAATGATCCATTTCCCGACATTATTAATGTATTTTTCGCTGAATTCGTCGGTTTTGATATCATTTTACTTGGTACTTGCTTCAAATAACATTTACGAGATGCAACAAATGTTCTCCACAGAATTCCTTAGTAACCTATTCGAATTCTTTGCTCAAAAATTATAAAGCCAGCCGTTGTGAGTATGTAATCTTCGGTTCCTGGGACGCCTATCAGCGCTGTTGTCGGTTTGGTGATTTCGGGATAACCAAAGACAGATTTCCTGGTAAAGATCGGTTCAAACCAAAAGCTTGCAAGCTGAGTTCACTTGAATGAATGGAAAAAGCCTTGATTCAATCAGTAATATATCCAACAGCTTGAGTTGTTCATCTGAACTGGTTTTAGTTACGTTCTTACGTCGTTTTTATTTGATTTTAGAGCATTTTAAAAACTTTAAGTGCATTTTATTGATCATTTTTGGCTATTTTTAGGCCATAAAAATCTGCCCCCAATTTATAACAATCGATTATAGTGATTTATTTAGGAACATATCAGTACCTTGTCGCTGCAATCATGTACGTCTGTTTTTGCTAGGACTTTCAGCTGTCATGCGCCACATCTCGTTGAATCCGTTAGATAATAGATCTTTTATGTATGATAGATAACTGGGCCTATATATAGATATAGAAATTGAGGCAGATTATAAAGGCAGCCCTGTCCCACATCGGGTTGTAGTATTTTGGAATAATAATAATAATAATAATAATAATAATAATAATAATAATAATAATAATAATAATAATCTATAGGTATAAATAAAGTTTAATTTCTAAGTGGACCTGTTCGAACATTCAGTACTTTTTGTAGTTTTCAAAGCGAAAATAGTAACTTGTTACAACCCATCTTTGAACGTTTCTGACTACGCGTTCGATGAAGTGAGGTATCCACGAGAAATGAAATAGTACGTCCAAAAATTAGAATAAAAAAGAAATACACAAATAATATTAATAAATATTGTTAACTTTTTGAAAATACATGGAAACACGAAAACCATTATTTTTAGTAAAGAGAAATCGTAAATATTTATTGAAATATAATTCTAGAGAAAAATATAATTCTGTATATTGGATTTCGTAATAATGAATAGGGAATCAGGATTGACTTTCTTACTTCTTACCCTTATTCACAGGCTTATTTAATTGATGCAAAACTCCATTCAGTTGCATTATTTTGTTGATTTATTATTGCATTATTTCTGTGATGGTCCGAGCTAATCTGTGAAGCCTAAATGTCCGTGCTGAACTACTGTGCAAAGTTGTGACAGCCAAGTCACACTGATTTGGTGGGTATCAATCAGGCACTATAGTACTTTTGCAAAAATGTGTTTTTTTGCACTCAGCTACCCAACATGAAACAGAATATTTGCATCATTGATGCACGGTGAATTTGTGATTTTTTAGTGAAAGGTAATTTTTCATGGCTTTAATGAATGCTGATTTTCATTTTCCTTTTTATCTTTCAGCCCTTTCCAATCTATGCCGCACCCATTGCGTCAAAACTGCAGCACTTTTCATTTTCAGTAACTCCGCCGAGTGAGTCTACTTTGCAGGTTCGTGTGTTTTGGTCCCCCGACCTCTCTGCACTAGACTCTCTGGGAAACGAACATTCAGACGTTACGTACTATTTCTCCCGATTTTTATAGTGAAATTTTGTTGTATAGTATTGACGTTGAGACATAAGAAAACCAGTGTCATGTTCACGAAGTAATAATGAATATTTTGCATTTTCCCAATTTTGGATGCACTGTGTAAAAACCCTAAAAGTATATAACAATTATTATCGATATTAGCTCTAATTCTTGTGGCGTTAACAAATATAATTAATGATAATATAAAAATTCAATCTTGCAATTCTCGAATGACGTTATGAGATGTCGATATTTGAATTATTGAATTCATATTTAATTCTAAAACTATCCCCTATTCAGTAAACATATTACAAACTTACTTATTTACATTTTTATTCAGTGGATAATAACATTGTAGATATCTGAACGACGTATGAAGTTCTTCAATGACCTTTGACGGAAATTTCCGGAAGTTGGAAGAAAGAACACGCTCGCACCCACGTGTGGAGAATGGGTTTAAGGGACCGCGATAGCTCCTCGCGTCGACATTTTGAGTTAGGAAAACAGTCCGACTGCCATGCAAACCTTGCAGCACTCCCTTGGTCTTAGTCTTTGCTTCCGGGTGCATCAATGACAGTACTTCAATCATTAATACCGTAAGCGTAGTGCTGCGAAGTGGCGGCGTTCCTTTCCCGTTGGAATATGAAACCCGGGCGTCGACCTACACGGCGGCTTGAGTTTTCCACAACCAGGTATCTCCCCCTCAACGGGACAATACAGCAGCTAGGACTAGCGCTAAGCTTCCGACTTGTCTCCCGACTCATTAGTGAAGTGTAGGTGAGATCGTGTGTGTGTAAGGGTTTTGGAAGGAATTAGGATAAGTAAGTAAAGATCGCACGCGTTCCACAGCTCTTTTGTTAAGATATTGCTCGAGCATTCGTCTAATATTGATCGGAGAAACAACTGAAAATCTGTGAGAATCCTCTTCCGGGCATTGATTGAATTCGACTCAGCTATCGTTGAAAATCCGCCATGAATTTTTTAGAAATAAACGTCGAAAGTTAACAATGTGTGCCGTTTTTGCGGAGTTTTAAAAATATAATTGTTGTGTTGGTCGTCCAGCTTTATTATTCAAATTCCAATTTTTGAAGTTTTGTTTTGTCTCTCAACGAAATTAAAGGTACTTATATACCAATAAGAGCTAAATTATACGTTATAAAATGTCGGTTACAATGAATATTTGAACATTTCGTTTAAATTGACAATAATAAATTTCTCAGGGTGACTATGAATAATTTATATTTTATGGATACATTTGAGAAACAAGATTTGGATTGGTAGTGTAAGGATAATGAAATCAGTATGTCAGTTTCATGAGACAAAGGAGATGCGTTAGAGGAGCAAACGCATTTCAATTCATTGCAAAAGAGGCGCTGGCACGTGCTCTGATATTTCAGGCGCCTGACAAGACACACTCGTCGCCAAGAACTCTTTGACTATTGGACAAGGGTTCGACTGACTCATTTTCCTCCGACTGAACACTTAAGTTCTTGAAATGTATCCAAAAAGATCTCCACTTAAGTCGTAGACTTGTGCTGGTTATTCAGCAGAATATTGCCTCCATATCCCACACTCGTGAGGTGACTAAATTTCCCCTAGAAGTGTAGTATGTCAAAGCTCCAAGTTACTGCGCTCGTGGCGTATAAAAGCGATAAGTGAAATCTCTAACGGTTCATGAGGTGTTTATTGAGTGATGTTGAAACTATGAGTATTATATTCCGGGTGATTGTGTCAAAATGTGAAAATGCATCTCTTATCGTTAACTGACAGACTTATCTGTTTTTCGGGACATTAGGCTTCTCAGAACTAATTTCCCTGACTTATAACGTTTCCAGACTAAAAATGAGTCCCCTTGTTTATCCCTTCGCTGTAGTCTCAATAGTTTTAGTTCTTCATGACATTTGTATCAAGTTACTTGTATAATAAGTTACATGAATTAAAATTTGTTAAAAATATTCTGAAACATCATGTAATATGTTATGACGGATATCAAGTGGAACACGCACATTTCGAAATTATGAATACGTGCATTTCATAATGATATTATTTTACCATTACTGGAATAAAGTAACCAAAGTACAAAAGTTGCCTTTGTTTAGGGAGACTCAATATTGCGATTGGATAGCGCTGCAGAAAACATTTAGTCCCAGGCAATTTCTCTAATTGTGTGCATTGTGTTAATGGGGTTGACGGTTTTAGGGGTCGGATACAGAATATGGTCATTCAAAAAAAATGCCATTTTCGAACTTTAACTAGTAGATTCCTATTTATAATTCAAATTGATATAAATTACTAATTGTGAGGATAACACTGGAATTCATGGAATTTCATCGCATTTGCGAATGATGCGAACAGTGGAAAGTGGCACTTATTCATACTGCAAAGTCCCGATTATTTTCTGACAATCAGACATGAACAATTTTTATCAGCGCCGGTCCGGATAGCCGAGATCGCTAAGGCAGTAGTGCCGTAGTGATCTCCGACCGAAGGATCGCGGGTTCGAGTCCCGCCTCGGGCATGGTTGTATTGTGTTCGTCCTTTCACACCCCTATCATCATCATCATATATCATGTCATCCTCATAGTTATCATACCGTTACACGCAATAGTTATACGCACACCTGGAAGTTGATGCGACCTTAAATAACAAAAAACAATTTTTATAGGCGTATTTTGCACTACTCAAGAAAGGTAAAAGGAAAAAAAGGGGGGAATGAAGCCATATTTGAGAAACTTTCGAAACTATTGTTGGGGCTTCATCTAAAGTACCCCAAAATTAAAATATAAGTTTTAAATTCGAGGGCCGCGACATCAGGCAGATTGATATACATTTTGGTGAAAATTTTGTGTACGGTTTAGTCGGTTGTGTTATTTACAGACAGGAAAAGGAAGGAGCCATATTTTTGGTGCCTCCACCTACCAACGTGGATTCGGTGTACACTGCACATTTGAGACAGTCCTAATGATATTAAACATAAGCGTCAGTGGCTCGTAAAATTTGGGTGTGGGAATCAACGAAAGTGATTGACATGTAAGAGTACTTGGTGCGAAATTTTATTTTAGCCACGACTATTGATTTACGTTATCCGGATACACACCATAAATTAATGAAAATTACTTTTAATGTAATACCGGCTTCAAAATATAAAACAAAGCTCTTAAAAATAATGAAATAATTTTGAACAAACATTTAGAATTTCGACTCGGCAATTACTACCAAGGCTATTTGTTTGCTAATGAAAGTTTCGAGATGGGAGAATGACGGAGCAAAAGTTAGCGACCACTACAATAGCCACGGAGACGGCAGCGGCTGTGAATTGATCAATAGTAACCAGAAGCAATGCGTCCTCTTCGTTAGATATGAAAAAGTGGGCTCTTACTCCTACATCTATCAACCAGTTTGGGAGACTCTTCATCAAATAACGTGTCCACGAATTTTCGGCTAATGAAGGACAGCAAAATCTTTTGTGTACACCATGTTATTGTTTCACAGTCTGAGTGATATTAAAAATATTAATGATCAATTGAATAAATATATACAACCCTTCCTCCTCCCTCCCCCTCCCTTCCCCAATGTATCCCCATCCTACTATCAACATCTCTCATTCACCTACTAGATCTACCGTGAGTAGGTCGTGTCCAAACGCTTTACGTTGTAGAAAACAACCTGAGACTTGAACTTCACATAATGTTCTACACAGTGTGTGAAAATATTTTCGTTTTACGTAAGTCTGCTGTTCTTGTAATGGGCATTTGCTTCATATTTGGCTAACGTTGGTAGTACTTCATGTTAATGTCTCTTAAACTTTTATCCTTTGCTTGGGATTTTTAGTAAACTAATTTAATTCATTATTTATAGGTAATTTGTTCTGATGGTAGTTCGTAACTCAGCACAATAATAATTTGTAATAGATTGAACGCATGACGGCTTAATGTGAGTTTCTTATGATTTATTCCATTGTAATAATTTTATTTATTCATTGTCATATTTCTGATTATTTCGTATCAAGATGTTTTATAGATTTATAATTTGATTGACGTAATGTTCTTTAACGTCTGTATTCTCTGTATGTTAACCTAGTTTTTTTCTGACTAACAGGTCTTTATTTAATGTTATTGACTGTAAAGAACAACCTTCAGTTGGTTTTAAAATTCAAACTTTTTACTACGTTCTTACAATTATGGGTATATTGTAATTTTAAATGTATAGACTAACTCCAATGTATTATATTCTGCTTTAGTTGTCACTAGCCTGATGGGGGAAAAATTCCTCCGAAACGTTGCCATCAACAACATTGTCTTGTGATGTAATGAGAACATAAAATGTTTAAGTGATTAAATGATTTACTATAATATCTATGGAACTTTATTTGAATACTTGTGTAGTCAACAAAAGACAGTTCTTAGGTCTACCAAGTTATAATTTGTCATTTTGTTTTAAAATGTTCCTACGACATATCAATGTTTAGTCTTAAGCCGTACTGCAAGGTCATTTGCTTTCTCGGCGCTCCATTTTGAATGTTTTAAAATAATTCCAATTTGTTTTGAATTGATGAAACAACTTTCTTCCTTTATTTTCTCGATATTCAATTCTAACAACAAAATACAAATTACACACAGAACTATAAATAGACACGCTCTCACAACTTCAAATCAACACTTGCAGCAAATGGGTTGAGAGGAAGGACCAAAGAAGGGAAGGAATTGCGGCACCGGATGTCGTGTTTGTTACTTTAAAAATAGCTTCATTATAAGCCACAATGACGCAGGTGTGCATACTAGTTGTAGAGAAACAGTTTACTGCGGCGCCGCCTTCCCTCCTACCATTCCCCATCAATGTGTGCTTCTATATACCCATATTCTTGAGCTTTTTCGCTTTGCTGTAGTTTATTTGAATATTTGAAAATATCACTTATTCTGCTATTAAATATTTTCATTTAATACCTATTTTATTATTTGTCATTAATAGAAGAAATGAAATTTAAGGAAGATGACTAATGATACCCCCGCAGATAACACTGGCCTGCGATGGTTTAATTGCCGCCATCTTGTTGATTTTTAGGATTACTTTGGCACCTTGAATCAGAATCTAACGTTATTTTTCCTATATCACGTCAAGTTTAAAAAAATCTTATATTAAGTTTTTATTACATCTAGGCACTAATGCTCTTCTTAAGTTGTTACAGGAAAAGTTTTTTTAATTAAGATTTTCAGGTTAGTTTATTAATTCAATGACCCGCAGTCATCTGGCAACCTGTATAATCGTCTCACTTTAGAAACTGTGTTTAACACGTATTTCAATAAAAAATATTTTTATTGAATTGTAATAGCACGTGGCTGCTAGAACAGTCCAGATACATGCTGCTATGTTTGTGAAAGTCTCGTGCCGATAAAACAGCTGCGCAAAATAACCGACTTCATGAGAAAGGCCTACTACACCTACTGGTATCATACTGGGAGACCAAGAAAAGCCGTAGGCACCACATAGGGCATGTAGAACATGTTGGAATTCTTACGAAAATGGATGGAAAGTGAGAGAACAGCGGCGCATTTTGGAATTCCAATGGTGTGGCGAGAACCTTGAGACCACAGTACTGACTGCTACTTCTGTTCTTTGATTGTGAGGGGATTTAACAGCAAGAACAAAAGTATTATTGTGTGTTATAAACAATATTCCATTAGCAATTTTACCTCTTTCCTCGTGGTTCTAATGAACCTTTCCCACAGTATCTGGAAAATTCACAAGACAATACTGTTCCTTCTCTGATAGAGCTCACAATGAAGGTGTCAAGGTGTCAATTTCCCGTGTCATCGATTCTCTAACATCAGCAATGTCAAAATCAAAGAGGGTGTCTTCACAGGTTCAGATATCAGAAAACTTCTATCTGATGTTAATTTTGAAGATGTTATGAGCACTGCCAAACGATCCGTTTAGAAATCATTCCGAGATGTGGTCAAAAGCTTGCTTGGTAACAGAAAGGATTGAGGCTACAAACAAATGGTGAAAATAGTTGTTTCTTTTCAAGATTTACGTTGCAAAATTACTTTAAAAGTACGCATGCTGCATTCACATCTGGACGGTTTCCCGGAGAATCTAGGAATCATGAGCGAAGAGCAAGGAGAAAGATTTCACCACGATCTAAAGAAATTGGAATGCAGATATCTAGAAAATGGAGTAGAAACACACTGCAGATTATTGCTGGTTACTAAAGAAAAGATGTAACTACATCTCGCGCGCAAAAGCAAGACGAAGTTTCTTAAAGTATGTAAAGACGTAATAAAATTGAATCCGTTATCTTACATTATACATATATATATTTACATCTCGCTTTACATATTTTTTAATGTTCATAAATATGTAATATAGTAGTGTTTAGAGGAGTAAAAATAATAAGTAAGAAGCATTTCGTACATATGATAATAAATTAATTGTTAACTTGCCTCTGCGCGTGTCTCATATTTCTCGTATTTTCATTTTGATTTTGCAATACAACGTGATGCCATGGAGAAAAAGGGACTTCTGATCCGGAATCAACATTATATTTCATAAAAGACCCCTATTTAAACATTATGCAATGATCGGAAAGTTAACATTCGCAAGTACGTGTAATAGTAAGTTTACCATAATTCACTACCCACCTACCATATAAATGTACATATACGGTATTTTCGACTTTATTTTAAATCTAATTAACTATATAATGTTCATTACTTAATACTCAAAAGTTATCAATTTTACATTTTCTGATTGCCATGTACAAACATTAGTGGTGTTTTGTTATGTTTGAAAAATTGTTTGTTTTTTTTAATTTGTAAATTTCACATATCCATGTCATTCTATACCTTAATGAATTACAAGGGAAAGTTTATGAAAATTAGGTAAAAATAAGTTCATATGGTTGAAATACTATTAAATGTACTAAGTAGAAAAATGCTTTGTGTTAAAATTTTGAATTAGTAAATTAACTAGTTACATTGGTGACTCCAAAATATGTTTCAGGTAATTAGAATGGAAAGCCACTCGTTACAACTTCGTTACAAATCAGCAACAAATTGTGTATCGGAATCTTGCAGCTAGATTTACTTCAAATTATAAAACAAGAAAGTCCTTCAGCCCTATGAAGCATGGGAAATCGATATGGTTTTTAAGAAAGGAAAATGCACGCAGTTTCAATATCCTGAGAACGTTGATAATGACAGAAGAACCGCGCTCATCAGTGATGCCAAAAGGAAAGCTTCCGTTTTACTATTGAACACTTTCGTTTATTAACTCTTTATTATGATGAGTTCTTCATAGAAAACTGTATACCATAGAAATAAATTAGTTAACTTTCCCAAAAACTGTTGGAAATATACCATGCTGTTACATATTAACGATGCTCTTAATATTGTTTCATATCATCTCCTATGTAAATGCACATTTTTTGTAAATAAAAGCATTCTTCTTCTTCTTCTTCTGCCTTTTATCCAGCGAGGCATTCCGCGACAATACATACATAAGAGACAAGAGACAAACAACCATGCCCAAGGTGGGGCTAGAACCCGCGACCCTTAAGACTGAGGCGCTGAGTCGACACACGATTAAAGCATTTTTTTCTGATCGTAAATTAGTTTTTCTCGCTTGTTTAGAAAAATATTTTTTTGGTACTTGCCATCTTTTTGGTGTCAGCTTTCGATGTCAATACGAGAAACTGAATCTATATCATTTCGCATATAGAAAATTCACTTGTGTGAAATAATACAGATTCAGGAGACATGCATAGAGGATACTGAAAACGCAGAAGAAATTTGAAGGGAATAAATAATACATACGTAGTAGTGTGAAATGTACGTGAAAGAGCACATATTGAGTACACTGATTAGGTGCAAAAGTAGTTTATATGCTCATACGCGAAAAAAGCTCGTGTTAGCTCCCTCCCTGTTTTCTTAACTTTTATTAAGCTACCACCTGTATTCACGCTCAATTTTCATCTCAACCACTCACAAACGCGTGCTTCACTGTATTTCAATTCACTATCTGTAATGAACACCAACATTCCAAGAAAAAAAACTTAATCAAAGAATTTTTTAAATTATTAATTAACATTTAAATGACGATTTTTATCGACCCTCCAAACTAGTACGGTGTCTTGTATAACGACCCCACTCTCAATAAAATAGTTCTTGATTTGTAATACTGAAAGAGAAGGCTTCAATGTTTTAGTTAAGACACTGAAATTAATTTTGAATTTATTGTTCTTCTTTACTTTAAACTGTTTATTCTTTACCGTAATTTTTACTAATCTACGCCGTTTTTTTACGAAAATAGTTTTATTGATTTTTAGCTATATTTTTTCTATTAACTTTCTTGTTTGGGATTATCCCATTAATAAATAAGTAAATAAATGAGTAAGTAAATAATATATAAATAAGAAAGAAAGATTAGCCGAGCTACTAATTATTTAGTAGAGAATTTAAAGTATATTTTGGATTGAGTAATAGTGTATAACACACAGACGAGAAAGTTATGTTCCCCGCTGCCTCGCACACAAATCTGGAGATCTGTAACATGCACTATGAAATTGTTGGCATGCAGAATGCATTTCAGTACCGTTGCTGGATCATACACTGGGCGCGGTGTCCTGCGTGCGCCCCCGACGGCCACAAGTCAGACGTGAAGCCTAGGAGCTCGGGGTGCGTGCCGTGGTAGCCCACCACTGCCCCAGGCGCTGCCCCGCCGTGGTGGTGATGATGGTGATGGTGATGCTCCCACAAGCTCGTGTAAGAGGTGATATCAGCATAGCCAGGAACTCCCAATTCCGATGCACCCAGTGGCTGTAACAGATTATCCTGCAAGACTAAACCACAAGTCTAACACAACCTAAACGTAAAGGGCGCAGAGATTGTGTCGTAATTACTATTCATAAGATACTACTGAGTATATTTACCAGAGGCCGAATGCTGCAGTAGTGTTAAAGTCTGTTCTTTTCGTAATGATGTACTCTTCTCGATTTCACGATACAAGTGACATTAAAATCCACTCTTAACGGTCAGTCTCTATTAAAAGTTCGCCTTCGTTACGAAAACCCAAACGGATGGTACCTTCTAAATGCCCTTATTCCCGGAAACCATACTTCTTTTATATAATTTTTACTTTCTTGCCTTACTTCGTAAGAAGAGAAAGTATTTATTTAACGTCAAAAACCGTTAAAAACTGTGACGTACTACGGGGAGAAGTGCAATCTGTGCACGGTTTCTTGAGTTCTGGGATCTGTGTTCTAACTCATTTAAGTTGAATTATAAATACAGGTAACAACGAGCGTTTTGGGTAAGAATTGGTATTAACGTATTTGCAAAGGCAAATCAGGTACAGATTTAGGCTATTATCTCTATTGTTGTATGTAATTGAATCTACTTACTGCAGCGAGAAAATTCAGAACGATTATTTAAACATCTACATTCCCCCCACAGCTCCAGAAAACGTAAAATGACCGGATAGTAAGCTACATTTATGTCCAGAAGCAAAACAAGGGGTTATCTTAGCATTTGCTCAAAGGATAATGGCCCTATCGACGGGGGACATTGACCCAGAAACTGAGGTACAATACTTGTTATTGTCAATGTAGTCTTTCAGAATGTACAGTCTAAACTTATGTATTAAATATCATTGTTAACACCAATATTATTTCCCTTTTTGATGCTCAGTAATGTTTTCCAATTGTATGGAACGAGTTATGTGGCAGAAAATATTTTACTTGGCATTGAAACTTGTGTATCGATTTTAATCGATTAATGTCGTCTGGCAGTGTGTTGTAAAATAATGTGCATAAATTGTAGAAAACAATGGAAGTGAGCAATTGATACTGACACTTGATAAATAATATTTATGATAAAATATTACTGATAAATTATATAATATGCCTGGCAAAATATATACAATATAATGTTATGATTACGTTTAGTGTTATAATTATGTATAGTTATCTGTATTGGTTGGTTACCGCCCTTGATTAAGATATTTTGACAAAAAATTCTGATTCGTAAATCAAGAGGCATGGCAATGGTAGAATTTCTAGCTGAATAAAGTGAGCTTAAAAGAATAACAGGTGGAATTTGCTTATTATTCGTACAATTCTTCTCTGTAATCTAAAAGTCTGGGAACTATAGGACGTGTTTCTTCAAAATGTGCCGCATCTCAGATGGGAATGAACATACGCGAAATCTACACAAGGAGCAGTAGGAAGGCTGACTGAATATAAAAGAATTCTGAACTCTTAGCATAATGAACTTAATTTTGTATTCAAACCATTTATACGTATATTTAATTTGAGGTTTGACTGAATTGAGGGACCCAAAACTTTTGTTACGTTACCATCAGCCAATGACACAGTTATTATTCAGGAGAGTGTACTATTGTTGATTTGAAATGGAACACTTCTAATAAATGTAATAAATATGTCTAGAAAATATAGAGTAAGTATATAGAAAATAAATATAACTTCACCACTTACGCACGTTTTCTATAATGTAGTGGGCAGTATAATTATACATATTGTATTACTCCATGTTCTCGCGATGTCCGCGTTCTCGATTCCTTCACGAAGGGAAAGGTGAGAGATAAGCGCCAAAATCTGTCGCTTTTTTCTCTTTGTAATTACTTTTTATTACACGGGATCTAATATTTACTTATCAATGTTTGCCGTAAACACTGGTTCCCACCGGTATTCATAATTCATCTTGTGTATGGGTTATGTTAGAGATCCCAGAATTAAAGAAAACGTGTTCAGAATACACTTCTTATAGTACGTCACATAATTTTTAACAATTTCGTGACGATAAATAAATAAAACTCCATTGAATCCATTTTCTCATTTACTTTTAATTTGTTTTGGAACCAATTTGAAACATTTGGTATTGTACTAGTTACTGTTTCTTTATTCCATTCGTATTATTAGCAAAGAGAATTACTCTTTCGTTTTGAATATCGTTTACATGTAGTAGGAATAGAAGATGCTCTGATATAGAACGGGGTCCCATGTGCAATTGCCAATAAATCTGAAAGATTAAATAATATACCTCCATTCCATTATGGCACATCTACTCTTTTGTAATCTTCCGCCGGAAATCGGCGATTTTTTGACAGAAAACTCGTATTGCCACACCCTGGTGACGAAAGAGTGGATAAGTCATGTTCCTGTAATAATTTGCTTCCTCTAAAAATTGCTATCGGCTCGTTCAACAGTAGCCACTTGCTGCAGCTAGCCCAAACGTTCGTAGGGTTGTGCTGAACTTACAGTTACAAATTGAAAAATCTTCAGATCCTATTTGCAAATGGCTGAGCTCCTGACCAAGTCTCTACCAACGGGCACTAATGACGTCCAAAACACTGTGACTCGACTGTTCCTATACTGAACAAGTTACGGGCTTATATGAAGAAATGTACCGACGACGAGGTGGTCGCCTGGGAAAAGCTGGAATCCCAAGGGAGATCGGTTAATGTGCATATAAAGGAGCCAATTGGAAATGCGTTTTTTAAAGATTATTATCTTCTGAAACCTGGTCTTTTATCACTGCACTCCCATTGTGATCAAATACCGCTTCGAAAAAATTTCTCTTAGTCTAGGAAGGCCCAGAGAGGATGTTTACTTCAGGAAGTGCTATTCACAGGTAGAAACTATGAATCACATCTTAGGTCAATGCAGTTTTAGTAAGTCAGGATCAAGCATCATGTTGAGATCAAGAACTTAATATAGTGGAAGATGCACCGGTAATCGGTCACCGTTGTGTTCACGGAAACCACTTTCTCAGTTGCCGAAGGGGTTAGACTCGATCCTGACCTGGTAATGAAAAGCCGGGAAGGTGTCCACGTAGTCGACGTGACTGTCCTATGAGGACGGGTCTAATCTTCTAAAAGAAGGGGAGGAAAAGGTAGTAAAATACCAACCAGTCATTCCCCTTGCAACCCAACTTCATGGAGTGCCCAACGCCAGGATCCTGGCAGTGGTGGACCTCTGGGCCTGAGACAAGATCCACAGTCAGTGCCCTCAACTTGTTAGGGATGACGTCTCGAAGCGAATTAATGACTATCTCGTAATTGTTTTTACGAGCTCTATTAAGCTCTACACACAATTTGTAAATTACGATGGAACAATTTAGCATTGCTGGAAGAAAATGCAGAAAAGGAACATCTTGGTCCTCTGGGAAAGTCTATAGAACTCAGGGAAACCTAAAATACCTAGGAAATTACTTAGTTACCACGTCTTTGAATGAGAAGCATATGCTATTTAATGTAGAAAATTGTGTAGTTAGAACCTATTTTTTGTGAGCCCTTTATACTGAAAAATCGATTGACAGCCAAACATGACTGTGTGGTCAACTTTACTTCCTAAACCGTTTACACGACTTTCTCCAGAACTGATATTCCCCGAACGACCTAAACAAACTCAAGACCCTGCGAGTTGGAAAAGGAAATTTTGATTTTTGTGATTCTTTAAATGGAGTACCAACATTTTCAAAATTTTTCTCAAAAATGTTGAAATGTTCTTATGTTCCAAATCTTTTTATAAAACTTTGTCCTTGGATGCCGTAAATAACACCACGAGCCTCCTCCTTGAAATTGATATTTCGAAAATTGCAAAAGTTACAAATTTTGAAGCTTTTTTTTTTTTTTTTTTTTTTTCGATCTCTGAATCGTCGTTCTGGAAACAGTTGCCGTCGTTGCGGCCTGTTGTTGTTGTTGTTTTTTTTTTGTTTAATCTACTCTTTGTAACCAAATGTTCGAGAACATTCTTAATGGTCTAGGCAACTTTTGAGTTCGTACTGGCGTACTACAGCATCGCTAGATGTGCTACTCAGAGAGACGTCTTCTGCTCCGCAAATGTGCGAGGCTCAGGCACACGGCGCTGTCGAGTGCCATCTGGCGCTCAATGCTCATCCGAGAGAGGGGGAAGATGTCTTCCAACAGAGGTTACGTGACACCGGCTTCATGCTCTCGTTTCCTGACCTTGCTAGCGAAAAACATTAACTTTGTCGTTTAATAGTTTTCCGGATGTCCCACAAACTATGGGCCACCCCCATAAATTTTAAACATGCAGAATCATGAGACAAGTAGTATGCCGTAGAGGTATTATTTAAAATACTTTTAGTTTTCGAGGAATATAATATTATTCAATTTTTAAATAGAACTATGTTGTTTTCACCTTTCACTAGCACTTGTGGTACTAATTACCTAGCTGAATTTTCCTACATCTGTTCTTTAATTTTGTGTCACTCTCACTTATGTAACATGACACTCCAAATCTTTTACAGATAGCTTTCACTGTTTGCTTTGTGCACAACTTGAAGAGGGCACCTTTCTACCAATAACTAATGATTCGAAAATGGCATTCGCCCCATTGTTTCTGTTCGCGAATTTAGCCACTTTTTTATGCCATCGGTGTAATGCTTTGATCGGGTCTTTCCTATGATGATCCCGAGAATCCCAGCACTGGCCTTTTTTTTTGTTGTGGAACGAACCAAGGAAGCGTAAGATTGTTTTTTCGTGTTATAGTTAACTCTCCGTAACATGCGCACAACAAAATCAAGAGCTTTCCAAGTCTTGTAACACGAAAAGCCCTGTTGAGGTCGCTTTGCATTATTTTGCCAAGATATATACAGCTACTTACCTCCAGAATTGTATTTCTACTAATTATATATTGGAAGGGTTTCTTGTGTTCGTGTTTTCGTTAAACTAATTGTTTTACTTTTATCCGGGTTTGTTATTATTCACATTTCTTGGCGCCATTTCAACAATTCGTGAATATATATTTTTGCAATTGATCAATGTTGGCTTTGTCTTACGTTTTTCGACA